TGTTTAGATATTCGACCTATTATAAACGTCAAAAGTATTCATATAAGTCAACGTCAGATTTTCGTCCAATGAGAATTGAACGTCAATATTTTCGGTCATGTACTTTCAAATGATTGAAGCGATGCTGTTATTTCATTTGCTATAAAAGCAAATCTGGATTGAAAGAACTCTGTGAGACGAGTATAGATATTTTGTGTGTTCATATTTTGTCATATATACGTATTAAGCAAATATGCCTCCTAAAGCTGTTGGAAAAGCAATTAAAAAGGCCATTAAAATCCCAAAAAATGTTACTATAAATAAAGTAGAAGGAAAAAGAAAGAAAAAAAGAAAAGAAAGTTATGGAGTTTATATTTATAAAGTATTAAAGCAAGTTCATCCGGATACAGGTATTTCGAGCAAAGCCATGAGCATTATGAATAGTTTTGTAAATGATATATTCGAGAGAATCGCTGCTGAGGCATCTCGTTTATCACATTATAATAAACGATCTACTATTACATCAAGAGAAGTGCAAACTGCTGTGAGACTTTTATTGCCCGGAGAACTTGCAAAACATGCAGTTAGTGAAGGTACAAAGGCAGTTACTAAATATACAAGTATAAATAAATGAGAAGATATTGTCTATTTTCCAGGCTTTAAAAAAACCGGCCCTTTTCAGGGCCACTAATTTTTTTTTCATTGGAACTCACTCATGTTCACTTCTTTCATTGTTAACATATCTAATATATTTTAAATTATATATGTAATAATATTTATCTATATATTTTTACTAAAAAAATATAATCAAATCATAATCTGATAATATTTTTACTTCTAAATTTATTTTAATTACTGTTATTAAAAAGGAAATTCATATATATAAATTTTTATTTTAATGTATATATATATATATATATATATATGTATAGAATGAAGTTTTAAATTTTATTTTTTATATTTTATTTCAATTTTATGATTTACACTGCTATCAATTAATATTATTGTTAATAACATCCTAAATTTAAATTTTAATAAATATCATGAATATCATGAAATAATAATAATCTGTATTTCATTTATTTAAAATTTTATTTAAAAATGGATAAATATATTTTATTATCATCTTATCATTTTAATACAATACCTAATTACGTATTTACCTATATACCTAAATTATGTGATTAACTTTATTATTTAATTCAAATTTCCTTAAAACATTTCACTAAACATTCAATCATATATGTACTATATTTAGCTTATTCATATTAATTGTGTTTTAAAATATTTATTTTGGAAATAATATAATTCATAATAGTTCATAATAAATAGTTCCATTGTATAAATGAAGAGCTATCATACGTTCAAAAAATATGGTGGCCCTAAAAAGGGCCGGTTGTAATTTTTAAAAAAAAATTGATGTTCAATCTTAATAACTTATCCGCCGAAACCATATAATGTTCTGCCTTGGCGTTTTAATGCATAAACTACATCCATTGCTGTTACAGTTTTCCTTTTAGCATGTTCAGTATATGTAACTGCATCTCGAATAACATTTTCGAGAAATACTTTTAGTACTCCACGTGTTTCTTCGTAAATTAAACCACTGATTCTCTTAACACCACCTCTTCTTGCTAATCGTCGAATAGCAGGTTTGGTAATTCCTTGAATATTATCTCGAAGTACTTTTCGATGTCTTTTTGCACCTCCTTTTCCCAATCCTTTTCCACCTTTTCCACGTCCAGTCATTATAAATAAAATTCAACGTACGCAACAAGAGAAGTCACAATTCTCAATTCGAAATAATTCTTCTATATATAGTAAATGCACATCCCCCCACTATTTATTCAATAATCCAATCCAATTTCGTTAATGCATCCCCTCTTTTCGTTAATCACCAATCGTAAGACTTCTCCGCCTGAACTGAACAACCAACCAACCAAATGCTTGAAGCTCTTTCTCTGCAAGCTATATAAACTGCATTCTCGGTAGTAAAGTAGTATTTTTGAGTTGACCTGCACTGTGAGTTTGATATTAAGATATAATGGCTCGTACTAAACAAACTGCTCGTAAGTCAACTGGTGGTAAAGCACCTCGAAAGCAATTAGCAACAAAAGCTGCGCGTAAAAGTGCACCTGCAACAGGAGGAGTAAAGAAACCACATCGTTATCGTCCTGGAACTGTTGCTCTTCGTGAAATTCGAAGATATCAAAAAAGTACCGAACTTCTGATTCGTAAATTACCTTTCCAAAGGCTCGTCCGCGAAATTGCGCAAGATTTTAAAACTGATCTACGTTTTCAAAGTTCAGCAGTTATGGCACTTCAAGAAGCTAGTGAAGCTTATTTAGTTGGTCTATTTGAGGATACAAATCTTTGTGCCATTCATGCTAAAAGAGTTACTATTATGCCAAAAGATATACAGCTAGCACGTAGAATTCGTGGAGAAAGAGCTTAAGTTGTTTTGACAGTAAAAAAAAAAACGGCCCTTTTCAGGGCCAACAATTTTTCTTTCGAAAGAACAACTCCTATATTTACAATGTTTTATATTTATATATTTATATACATTTTTATATATATTTTATAATTTTAATTATTTATATTATATGTAAAAATTAATATTTTAGATATGAATATAATTTCATTTTATAAAGACAAATCATAATAAATTTGCTTTCTAAATTATTTGAGATTGAAAATGTAAATATATAATATTTCTTGAACAATTAAATTATTTAAATAAATAAAATATTTACATATTAAATTTAAATCTCAAATTATTCAGTTATATGTAATATATACGCAAATTTTATTTGATAACAAATTCTGTATTCACATATATTTATAAATCATAAACGTTTATATAAATTCAGTCACAAAATGAAATTATAAAATTATTTTTTCTTTTAATATATTATATTTTTTAATATAGGCATGATATACATATATAGCGAAGGCAAAAAAATAGGAAAACATTGATATATCAAATTACCTCGATTAATAATTATTAATATTAAATAATATCGATTTTTTTTAAATTTGTTTTTTAGAATTTTAAGAATTTTAATAGAGAATTTTAATTAAATTTTTGTAAAATTTTTTCAAAAA